ACAAAAAAAATTTTTTTAATGAAAATTCTGGGAAAAAACAAAGAATTAATATTCAAAATAAATGGCTGAGTGACTAAATAATAAATGAAAGTTCAGGGCAGTTTCCAGGTGCAAGGACTGACCTGACTTGCTTCTGGAGTTTACCGAAGAGGCAGATACCCTCTGGGCCTACACAGCAAGTCCCACTAGACAGGAAGCTCCCACGTTTGCTTCTGTGCAAATTTTCAAAAACATTCATTTTTTTCACAATGCACATTTTTCATGACCATTTTTTTTTAAAAAAAGATTTATTTATTTATTGGAAAGTCAGACATACAGAGAGGAGGAGACACAGACAGGAAGATCTTCCATCTGATGATTCACTCCCCAAGTGAGCGCAACGGCCGATGCTATGCCGATCCGAAGCCAGGATCCAGGAACTTCTTCCGGGTATCCCACGTGGGTGCAGCACCCCAAAGCTTTGGGCCATCCTGGACTGCTTTCCCAGGCCACAAGCAGGGAGCTGGATGGGAAGTGGAGCAGGCGGGACTAGAACTGGCACCCATATGGGATCCCGGGGCGCATTCAAGGCGAGGACTTTAGCCGCTAGGCCACAGAGCCGGACCCACAGAATCCTCTTTATTGTTCTTTTGATGTCCGTGGAGTACAGCACCCTGATGACATTCCTTATTTTATATCCTTACTTACAGCTTGTGTCCTGTCAGTCTTGCTGGAGGTTAGTCCGGTTTACTGATCCCTTTGCAGTTTACAAGTTGCTTGCTTATCCTTTCGCCTGTACCCCCCCACAGCAAGTATTGCTGGCTGCCTTCCCAGTGTTTTTGCCCTTTCTCCAATTGCCATCCCCATGGCAATGTGCCCAGCTCCACACATCCTCACTCCTGTCTCCACAGTGGCCCTGTGACAGAATGACAGTAAGTCCGTTAGGGCTGGAAGCCAGGCTCTCAGCTAGCTGGCACCTGGAGCAGGGCAGAAGCCTTCTTGGGGAGCCAAGAAGGGCAACTGGGACACTCAAAGGTCTGACATCCCTGGAGGGCTCAAGGATGACGCTGGACTTCAGCCACGGATGAAAGCTCTTCCTGTGGGGCTATCAGTGCTTGTGGTTTCGACGGCCCTATCCCACTGCCAGCTTCTCCTCCTGCTGGAACATAATTCAGGTCTTTCACTGAATAGCAGTGCCGAGTCAACACTCAGTGTCATGAGCCTGTGTATACCTGGCTTGTCTTGGTCCATAATGAACAGGCTGGCAGTCTCCTCAGCATGTAGGCAATCTGCCAGCCCTACTTCTTACATGTAGCCTGTATGAGCGTTCTTTTTACCTTTAATGTTCTCATCTAGTGCATTGTAATGAGCTGAGAATGTTCGCAAATATAGCAGCCACATGCATGAAAAATAGAATAAATTTTCCCCAGAAGGAAAAATTATCAGTACCTCCAGAGGCCCTTCTGGGGAGTGGTGACCCCCAGCTTGCTCCACTGTCCTCACATAGGTGTGCTCAAGGCTCCCAAAGCTCATTTCTCCACAAATGTTTCCACGTCACACGTGTCTGCAGCTCACGTCAGGGCTCTGGAGGATGCCAGCGCAAGCACCACAGGGACAGCCGAGCACCCTGCAGGCTGGGTGCCGCGTGCACAGCGTGCTGTTCTGGGAACTGCTGCCTCGAGCCTCTCGTGCCTGTGTAGTGTGGACCTGCTCTCTCAGGCGCTCAGCGGTGGCTGGGCCACAGCAGTGTACACGTCCCGCCGCCCCAGTAGCTACACCATCTAACATTCTCCTGCATAGTGGGAGGCACTGGTCTTCAACAACATGGCCCTGCGGCCAGCGCCATCTCTGCCTCTGGGGCTGTGTTCTCCATTTTCCTTTGCTGGTTCTGTGCATCATGCAGACGGTCTAGTTTTTTTTTTTTTTTAATTGGAAAGTCAGATATACAGAGCGGAGAGACAGGAAGATCTGTCTGCTGGTTCACTCCCCAAGTGTACACAACTGGAGCTGAACCAATCCAAAGCCAGGAGTTTCTTGAGTCTCCCACACAAATGCAACATTCCAAGAACTTGGGCCATCCTCCCCTGTTTTCCTATGCCACAAGCAGGGAGTTGGATGGGAAGTGGAGCAGCCAGGATACAAATCGGTACCCACATGGAATCCTGGTGCATACAAGGTGAGGATTTAGCCACGAGGCTATTGCACCAGGCCCTTGTTTGTTAGTTTTAACCTTTGACAGAAAAAGGGAGACAGATTTTCCAGTCACTGGTTCACTCCCCAAATGCCAATGCCAGCCAGGGCTGTGCCAGACCAAAGCCAAGAAGCAAAGACTCTACCTGGGTCTCGTAGGTAGGTGGCAGGACCCAAGTATTTGAGCCATCTTCTGCTGCCTTGCTGGAAGCACTGAGAGGGAGTTGGACTAGACACAGAACAGATGTTACTTGAACAGCACTCTTAAATGGGATGACGGTGCTGTAAGTTTAATCCACAGCCACCACAGTGGTGGCCCCCAAATTTCCTGTTAAACTGCGTGTCAACACACACACGTCTCTAATTATCGACACATTTGGATCAACTTAATCATTCCATCTTCTCTCCTTTTGGATTTTTCTTACTCTACTTTCTTCTCAAAAATTCTGAAAGTAGAATCTGCTCCATCCGTCTCGAGTGAACCTGCCAGTATCCCAGTGTTCACTCCCGCCTGTGCTCACTGGTGGTGGCTTCACTCCATGACACACCTGTTGCCTGAGGTCAACACCCATTTTGGCTTATATTTTGTTTCTCTTCATCCATTTTTATGTCTTAGATGTCCTCGCTGGGATTGAGCACCTTCAGTGTGAAGACATCCTTCAGGAAAAGAAGCAAATCTTCAGAACATTTTCTTTGCTTTTAAACAACAGTTTATTGAGGTATGCCGTACAGCCTACCAATGCAGAGAATCCAATTCCATGGCTTTTGCCTATTCACACATCTGTGCAAGCCCCACCACAATCAACCATGGGACATTTTCACTTTTCAAAATCGATTTCCTCTTAATGACAGTCTCCTGATGACCAAGCCCCTGGTTCTGTCTAAACGCCATTTTATAAGTAGGTGTGGATTCTGCTGTGATCATTTTCTGTCATTGCAGTTGTTACCCATAGCTGACATACTTGCTGCTGTGGTTCCATGGGAAGGTAGTGTGGAAGGGCCAGGTGCAGTGGCGTGGTGGGGAAAACCACTGTCTAAAATGGCACCACCCTTTAGCGTGCCAGTTCAACACCCGGCTGCTCCTCTTATGCTCCAGCTCCCTGTTGATGCACCTGGGCCCCCTCAGCTTTAACTTTCAATTAGTTCCTTCTTTGAATTCAAGCCTTTTGAATATTTTATTATTACTATTATTATTTAAAGATGTATTTATTTTTATTGGAAAGACAGACACACAGAGAGGAGGAGAGACAGAAAGGAAGATCTTCTATCCGATGATTCACTCCCCAAGCAGCCACAATGGCTGGAGCTGAGCCAATCCGAAGCCAGAAGCCTCTTCTAGGTCTCCCTTGTGGGTGCAGGGTCCCAAGGATTTGGGCCGACCTCAACTGCTTTCCAGGCCACAAGCTGGATGGGAAGCAGAGCTGTCGGGATTAGAACCAGCTCCCATATGGGATCCCAACAAGTTCAAGGCGAGGACTTTAACTTCCACACTATCATACTGGGCCCTATTTTTTTTTTTTTTTTTTTTTTGAGAGGCAGGCAGACAGTGAGCTCCCATCCACTGACTGACTTCCCAAATGTTTGGAATGGCCAGAGCTGGGCCGGGAAAAGGTGAGAGTTGGGAACCTGCTCTAAGTCTTCCTTGTGGGTAGTAAGGAGCCCAGTTCCTTAAACTCATGCTGCCCAAGGTCTGGATTAACAGGAAGCTGGAAACAAGAATTTGAGGTGGGTAGGGAATCCAGGCACCCCAACGTGGAACACACAGGGGGGTCACAAACACAAGACTGAACATGCCTCCTGCTGCCTATTTCTTATTCCCATGGTTTCTTGACAGTTTTCTTGAGTTATGATGGTGAAATTCTGTTTCCTTGGATATAAATTCCCCCACTTAGCTGCTCGTTAAGGCACTGGCCGCCCCCTGCACTGTGTCATTTCTATGTGCGTGACCACCACATACAGTAGTAGTGGTATTCCTCTTTCCCAACTGGGCGGTTTTTCAGTTCAGGGGCCACAGTTTCAAATGCAGAAGTCACCCCTTTTCTGAGCTCTTGTGGGGTTTGCACTGCAACAGAGCTAGGGATGCCAGAAGCCTGGGTACCAGTCACCCGAGACTGTCCATTGCCACAAGCGTCCTGTTCCCCACAGGAGTCTCCATCCTTTTTTACCAGCCATGGAAGGTCAGCTCTGCTCCTGGCTGCCGTGGGCATGTTTGGTCACTGTCATCAGTTAAGAGCTGGAGTCCTGGCCTTGTGTTGCTGCTCGTGCAGGAGCCAGGGGCCTCACAGCAAATGCTTCCCGGGAGGTGTGGACTGACTGTACACACACTTACTCCTGTCCCTTGACACTGACTACCAGTGCTAGGACACTGTGCTTCTGCAACGTGACACAGGCACAGCCGCATCCGATGACTTAGTGCAGGGGCAGACCCTGAAGGGGACATCAGGTTAGAGGCACCTGTGACTGAGCCGGCATGGGGTCAACCTACCAGGGGTGTAGATGACAGCCCAGCCTCCTCCGCAGGGACCCTCTCACATGGTGAGGGGCCCATGGGAGTCAGGGCTCTCCAGCGGTCCCACAGACTACTACCTGGCCTGGCCTGGGGCAGATCTTCAGGGAACTGTCAGACCCTTTCTTCATCACACACTGGTTCTGAGATGATCGCCACTAACCGCAGCCAGATCTGGGACTTGAATCCCTTTGGCTTCCAGCCTCAACAGCACCAGCCCAGGGCAGGGGTGTCTCACATTAGATACCACCTCTGCCCTGTCCTGGAGCCCATCCCCTTAGCATGCTGGGGCCCAGCAGCAGAGAACAGCTTGTGGTCACACACAGCCCTTTACTGGTGTCTATTTCAAGAGAGTAAATAAAAAATACACAAAACAGAAAAGACCAAACATCCATATGTACAGATCCAGGCGAGCAACAGAGCTCTGTCTCCTTGGGGTGATGGGGGCTCTGAGAAGGTGAGGAGCTGATCTTACACCCAGAACAGGCCAGCCCAGCCACCTGCAGGACAGGCCCGACGGCAGATGGTGTGGGCCACGCCTCAGTCAGAGTCGCAGGCCTCTTGCTCGGTGGTGGCACCCACTGCAGAGGCTAGGCAATCCTCCTGGCCTTTCAGCCTTTCACCTGGGACAGAGGGCAGACAGAGGGGGTAGACAGAGCTGAGCACTTGGGCCAAAACTCAAGGGGGCAGGGCCCCTGGCTGGCCAGGCCCTGCACTTACGGATGAGCTCGGCGATGGCCCTCTGGGTGCGCTTCTCCAGCTTCTCCAGTTTCTTGGCCACATCCCTTTTGAGGTCCCTGGAGCAGGGAGGGAGGGGCAGGTAAGCAGCTGAGACATGGCCTGCGGCCCTCTACACCCCACTCGCGTTCTCTCTTGGTGTCCTCCAAAACCCAGAACCAGCCTTCCTTCTCAGTTCCACTGAAGCAAGGAGACCATTTCTGCCGACCCTCTCAACACAGGGAACTAAATTTGGACTAAGGGAAGGGACGGTCCTTTGGGATCCTCTGTCGGGTGAGTCCCCCCAGTTGCTGCCATGACCCACGTGCCCCTCCAGCCACAGGTGCACCCTCAGCCTTGGGGGCCTCCGGAAGTACGCGTGCTCTGAACCTATTCACTGGCTCTGGGTTGCCAAGAGCATAATCATGCTGGGGCCCTGCTGCTGGTGCTGGTCCTGACACAGACACAGGCTGCTTAGAAGGGCAGGTGGCAAGGACACAGCCCCCACCAGTGGCCCAGGGCAAAATAAGATCCAGGCCTCCCAGCCCATGGACTCCTCAGAAAGGAACCCAAGGGCTGGAGGGGAGGCCTGGAGGAGGCAGGGGCCGTATTTCTGTGATGACGACCCTGCAGCCGAGAGAAACAGACTGGCTGGGGGCAGAATGGTAGTAGAAACCTGTGTCTGCCCTTCCCTCTATCCTGCCTCCACTGAGAGGGTCGGCAGGGCCCAGCCCAAGGCCCACTCCTTGCACCAAGCCCCAGTCAGCCTGTACCAGGCTGCAAGGCTACAAGGTTATACTCACCAGTCAGGCTTCCGGGGGGCGAGGTTGGCCAGGTCCTGGGGAGGGAGGAGACATATCAGAGCTAGGGGACCCAGCCCTGAAGGACGAGGGGAGACAAGATACAACAGTAAGGAGAGAAAGGACAGAAGGAGGACATGGCAAGTAGGCGGGAGAAGAAAGACCTAAAGAGAAGGAAGGGCACAGAGAGCGTAGATGAAGGGGGGTGGGGGAGAGGGCACTCACCACTTCCTCTATGATGGGCTCTGGCTTGGCCGCCTCCAATTGCTCCTTCACCTTTTCTTCCACTAGAGGGCGCAAGACAACAAGGGAAGCCATGGGAAAGAAGCAGCCACACCACCCTTTGGTACTAGAGGAAGGGGAGCAAATGCCATAGGCAGACAAGAGCCCTTTTCCAAATTCAGCACCCCCCAACACGTCTAGGACCTCTGCAGGACTAGGCAGGCACCCAGGACTCAATGCTGCCACCCAGGACCGCTTGTGCGCCTGTGATGAGATAGCAGCAGAGGGTCTAGGAGGCACAGCCTCACCCTTGGTGATATCTGCCCACCTACCTGCAACTGGCTTGGCCTGGGGTACCCTCCTCCTCTTCAGGTCCTCATCCTCTGGGACATAGTTCCGCAGCCTGAGTTCCCTGTGGGAACAGAGAAGGTGGTTGGGAAGTGAGGGAGTGACAGTGTCTCACACACTTCATAAACCTTGCAGGCCAAAACACCCTGAGCCCGCAATCCTTGGCCACCTCCCGACTTTAACATCTCACAGGCAACAGAAGCGGAACCTGAACGCTGGTAGTCTCCATCATCCAGCAGCTGTGTGGCTGCTCTCCAAGGCCTTCTGTGGAGTTGGGCCAGGTATTTTGCCAAATTATCTGTGTCTGACAGTCAAGGGGCCGGAGGGCCAAATGAACCACAGCAGGGAGTGCACGTCGGAGGTCACGGCAAGGTTGGACTTACGGCCCAGGCAGAGCTGCTGGGTGGAGTCACTCTGCAAGCCAGGAAAGAGGGGTCCGGAGGACCCCAGATGGCAGCAAAGTGAGCATTCCTGGGGGCTACCAAGCCTTTTGAAAAGTCTAGCCCGAGACCTATGACACACAGGCCCTTGGGGATGCAGAGGCAAACCCCGCATGCCAGCCAGGGGTGACTGGGGTGAATCCAACTCCTTCCCACTGCTTCTTTCAGGTCTGTCACAGCTGGAGGCTCAGCACAAAGTTCTGGACCTCCAAGATAGGGAAGTTTCCCAACAGGGCCTCTCACACAGGCTGTCATGGGCTCTGAGCCCTGGAGGCAACTGACCGTTGTGGCTACACAGCCTACAGGCTACTGCAATCTTAGAACTTCAGCCCCATTCCCCAGCTCTACCTGCTGCACGTCCTAAATTCTTACACCATCTCCTTTCCTCCTGCCAGAGCCTCTGGGGCTAAGAACCCTGGAGTTGGGTTGAAGATCTCTGCCCGGGTGGGGCAAGGCCATACTCCTAGCAGCAGCTTGCTCTAACGAGCAGGGAAAGGCCATCCTGGTCCTCATGCCCTGATGCCCGCCCCAGGCCTGGGGTAACTGCCAGGTCACTAAGGCATTGAGGGGTGAAGAAGGGCAGGATTGGTGACTTCTGTTCTCAACTGGGTAGGGGAAAAGAGGAAGCGAAACTGGGTGTGGGAGAACTGTCACTCTCAGAAACTGGCCCAAGGCTCTGAAAACTCAGGGAAACCGGCAGGAGAGAGGAATCAGTGAAATTATGGCAGGAAGCCAGAGAAGCAGGTTAAATGGACGTCCAGCCCCACCTCCTGAAGGGCAGGGGACAGGGATGGACACGGATAGTCAGGAGAGAACACCAGCCCTGTCACCCCCAGAGCTGAGTGCCGGTCCAGCAGCAAGACCACCTGGCTCCCCACCAATGAGGCCTAGTCTTGTTCTGGGGCTTGATTTCCCCAGTTATGCTGGAAACCAAGGAGTTGGTGCTGGGCATGGGGCCAGCTCTACCAAGCGAGGGCCAAGTTCTCCCCTGTCCCAAGGAATAAAGACATTTCCCCTCCCTAATGCCCAACTAGCAGTGCCCCCATCTCCATCCCAAGGGCAGGAGTCTCTGAGAGGTGTCAGGGAGTACTGGGTTCTGCCGGAAGTTAACAAGAGACATCTTTTTAAAAAATCTACTTATGAATAAAAATTTTTAAAAGAGAGAAAAAAAATTTACTTATGGGCCTTGGAGAAGTATAAAGACCACAGGGATTTGATGGGCTGCAATGGCAGAGATGAGATGGAAGTGACTGTGTGTGCAGTGCTCTCCCCTTGCAGCCTCCCATATATGTAAGCAGAGGCGAGGCAGAGCTTCCTGCACTCTCCCCGGGCCAGAGGGAGAATAGGGTGCGTTCATGGCAAGTAGAGAAGAGAGTTCTGGCAACCCCACCTCCAGCTTGGCTATGACCCCTCCCATGACCTACATCCTAAAAGTGAACCACTTGTTCTCAGGGACTGAGACTGGCCAGCCCTTTGGCAGGGGGAAATGGAGCTGCCTACAGGGGAGGATGCTTCCTCACCAGCCCTGAATAAGGGTCGGGGCAGACCTGGCTCAACTGTCCAGTGGAAGGTGGATTAGTCTCTAAAGGAAAAGAAACGACCCACAGTCCCAAGTTACCTCTAGACATTCTCATACACCATATTAAGACTCAAAACCAAAAGAAAAATGCAGGCAAAGGAGATGTAGATATTGGATTTAAAAACTAAACTTAAAACCCCTGCCAGGGTCTGGTGGGACCTGGGTCGCCTCGCTCGGGTCCTTGGCCCACTTGTGAAAACTGGTCCTCCTCAGTGAAAAAGACGGAGTACTGGACAGCTGACCCAGATCCACACGGAGGATAGGTCAGCCCACTGAGCCCCACAGGGGACATATGTACCATCCCAGAGGAAGGAGGACAGAACAAATTGGACTACTCCAACCAAATGATGACAGCAAATATCTGGACTAATGGAAACTCTGAGGTTGACTAGTCAGCCAATGGACATTGAAAGGGCTCCCTCACTCTTGGACTGACAAGATCGACAGAATTTCAGAACTATCAAAACCACCTGGGCAGAGCCCTCAGTGTGTGTGCCACATTGGGACCTTGGATTGACATCAGGCAGACACCTCCATCCTTGGGTACTGGGGTAGCTGGGAGGCTGGGTATGGCTTCTCCCCTTATCCACCTCCTGCCCCCAAAACAGGAAGGAAAAATAGAAAATTTGGAAGTAATGATCACACTCACTTTTCCCTAACCCTTGATCCATCTCACTCTGATCAACTATGTTAACATTATCTAGAATAAAAAAAAGAAGTTACATATAAATATTAGATATACAGGATTAAATATAAACCAAATGCAAAAGAATCCACAATTAAAAAAAATAACCCTGCCATTAGTAAAAGTCTAGGATGGTAGACCACAGGAAAAGAAATTTCAGTAGAGAAATAAAGCCATTAAAAGTTATCAGATGCACATTTTACAAGTGAAAAAGACAGCTAAAACTACAAACAGTATGTGAACACACAGATTGAGCTGCAGAATAATGAAGTTGTAAAGTACAAACAAGAAATAATATATATGAATTATGGTAAAACACACACACACACATACACCCCAATACATAATTAGAGTGTCCAAAGCAATATTTAAAAGACTAAAAATTTTTACAGAACTAATGAAAGAACCATACAGAATTCACAAGAGAATAATCAGCCACAAGATAAAGCAATATCATGAACTGAAATGAAAAGCACACGCAGGGAAGTCACTGCCGAAGTGCTGGAAGCCAACCGGGGGGAATCAGAGAAAACCACCCTTCAAAGGAGCAGCCAACGTCTGAATTAAAACTATGGATCGCAGAGGAAAAATGGGGATGGGGTCTTAGAGTGAAGGAATCGATGGCAGAATTCCAAACGTGGCTAAACTGCCTTTAAGAGAAAAATCCTTGCAGGCAAAGAAAGGAGACTGAGGAAAAAAGCAGCATGCAGATGAGTTTATATGGACTGTCCCAAACAGGAACAATGACATGCAGGACTTAGAGGACAGCAGCAGCATAAGCACAAAAGGCAGACAGAGCAGCCAACGACACTCACAGTGTTCCAACAGTCTAGCATTGCACCCACCGACACCGGCACAAGTACTACTACTGTTCATCAGACTTCATAAAGAGTGATGTGAGCCCTCTGAAAAGAAAGGGATGAAGAGCAGGTAACTGAGAGAGGAAGGCAAAGTGTGTGTGTGTGTGTGTGTGTACGTGAAGCACCCCCCGGGGGTGGGGGGAACACACAAAAAGACCAGAGTGAAATCAAAAAGGAAAGTGAGGAAATAAGCCGGAAGACACAGGTACACACACTGAGCAGGCTGCAGCAGCTGTCCTGGGGGCTGGACAGGGCATGACAGTGTGCTGCCAGACACACCAGAAGAGTAGGCCAACACCCAGCCGGGAAACACTGCAGCTGACTGCTCTCATTAGGCAGGGCCTGGCACCTGGAAGCCACTCTGCTGGGGCCCTGGAGCCACTACTGATGCAGCTATTCTTGTTTTAAGAGGAGGAGGCTGGAGCCTGGCATGGTAGCCTAGCATCTAAAGTTCTCGCCTTGCATGCACCAGGGTCCCATATAGGTGCTGGTTCATGTCCCGGCGGCCCCACTTCCCTTCCCCAGCTTCCTGCTTGTGGCCTGGGAAAGCAGTCAAAGACAGTCTGAGGCCTTGGGACCCAGAAGAGGCTCCTGGCTCCTGGCTTCGGATCAGCTCAGCTCTTGTCATTGCAGCCCCTTGGGGAGTGAATCAGCGGACAGAACATCATCTTCTCTGTCTCTTCTTCTCTGTATATCTGACTTTCCAATAAAAGAGGAGATACTATTGTGAGAATATGGGGAAATCAGTCAGGGAGTGAGAATTTGGGGAGGGGGTAGGGAAATCCCAGACCCTCTGAAACTATACCATAAAATAAAAAAATTTCAAAAATTAAAAAAAAAGAGGAGGCTGTTAGAGTCTTGGCCGCCAACAGCCAACCGGGTCCAGATCCCAGCTTTGCTGTCTTGGAGGCACTGGCGGTGGGGATCATATATGGAAAAGTGTACATATGGAAATCAAGAACACCTACCTGTCTACCATGAGACTGTGTGGGGTTGGCCCCAACTGTGGACATCCACACTGAACAGAAAGCTGCCCTAGGTGACAGAGGCCTCCTCTCCCAGGAGGACCACCTTCCCACGCCATGCTACTGCCCCCGAAGCTCCTCCGTGGACCCAAAGGTCACTACTTGCTAGACGGGCGTGTGGTAGATTCACAGCCCAAGATGTGCTGGCACAGAGTGTTGGGAATAGCAGTCCAGCAAACATGCCAGGGCCCCGCCAAACTCCTCCTCCAGTAACAGCAAGGGTCACCAAGCAGAGAGTGATTCCTGTGTGGCCCACAGGGTGGCAGAGTGCACCTGTTTCTGCATACCACACACTTCGTGGCAGGGCCACCCAGGACACATCACAGCCCTGAAGGCCTAGGCAAAGAACAGCCTCCTTCCTCCTCTCTGCCTGCCTTCCCAGTCTATCTGGGACCACAAGCTTGGGACTGCATACTACTGAGCCCTGGAAACCCAGTCTGCTGAGAGCCTGGCTTACCTTAGTCACCTCTGCAGC